TTTTTTCTCTATCAGTTTTTTGGGAGGCACAAGTTTAAAAACACAGAGTGCTCTAGTGAATTGGTTTTGCACCAAGATAAGTTCTAACAAACTGCAAAAGTGATTAACATGGCAGGAGTTTTTATGTGTTGAGATAACGTAGCAACTTAAAAATTGGTACTTTAGTTCGTAACTGAGAATGTGAGTGAAGCTAAATAAAGATCAGGGTAGGCAGATATTTCTGCATCTGGTTTAAGAGTATGTGTGAACATCAGTATTTCTGTAAATAAAAAAAGATGAACTTTTTAACAACATTCTGCATGAGAAAAAGAACCCTGTGATTTTTTTTTAATGTACTTCACTGTCATTGATTTATTCACTAAATGAATTTCATTTGTCTATTTCCTTTATGTCTTCAGTTACTGAAAATCCATTTTCTGTTTTTCATGGTAACAGAAAAATTCTTGCTGAAAGTCCAAGTAATGAATGACAAAGTAGAATCAGATTGAATGTATTAAGTTGTTTAATGTAAGCAAATTCCACCAGGGACTGTAACTCAGTGGTGGTTTTATAGTGATGTAGTTCAAAGGCCTGCTTGAGATTAGAAATCTGCTGTTCCATGGTGGTTGCTCACTCGTGTTGGAATAACTGTTATAAACTCAGGAATGACAGAGGAGCATTAAAGTGTGTTGTTATCCAGGGAGTGATAAGACTAAGATTTGGAACACTCCACACATCTGTCTTTAAAATTTTCCTTAATCATATGTTTGCATTTTGGCTTTTCTAAGAATAAAAATGGAATGAAGGATGGAAGTTCTGCAGCAGGTCAACTCTGAAAACTTATGTTTAATCAGTAAAAGAGCAAGCTAAATGTAAAACTTCTGTCAGTTTCCATCTTTGCTTTGGAAAATATGTTGAATTAATTTTAAAATACATTGTTTTACCCAGAGGTATTTTTGAATTGATATTGGTGAAACAACTTCTGAGAATTAATTTCATGCATTTTTTATTCCCTGTTTTTCATGGTAATGATCCAGCTGTCAGTCAGGTTTTGCAGCCAAAATTTGTCTAAGAAATCTGTTTATTTTCTTCTTCAAGGAGAGATCTTGGTTGATACTCAAAGATGTGAAATCTTGGCAATTCTTCCTTGACTTGGTTCTAGTAACATTTCGGATGTCTTTTTTCCATCTCTTAACTTGTGTATGTATTACAAATCTTGCATTAGAAGTCTGTGGCTAGGGAATGGGTGTAATTTAGGATTGTGGGTGTGATTAATGAAGTGTAGAAACAGAATGTCAACACAATCTTCTGTTTCAATTTTCACCTGCCACTTTTTCTTGGTGAGACGATGTTGTTTTTTTTTTTTTTTTAAATGTATGGTTTATCTATTTGTTTTCCCATAAGTCCTTGTGACAGACCAGAGATGGCTATGAACTAAAATCCTATCTCTGAGCAATTTAAAAGTTAAGAAAAGTTGAACTAGAAATACTGCTTTTGTAATAGTACAAATGAGCTCTCATATCTTCACATTCCTGTATTCCAGAACTTTGTAAGTTACTTTTTCTATGTAGCTACCTGCATCTGCTATGAGTTCTTTTTTGTCTGTATTCAAGTCTCTTATGAGAGCTCTTCCCTGGTGAGCTAAATTTCTGCGTTATCAACCATTTACGTGCACAGGCAGGCATCTAAAAGCAAGCAGATAAATAAAATTGGTAAATTGGTATTTCGTTATCTTTTTTTCTTCTTTAATTGGTTCTAAGATTTCCTCTGAGCAAGATTTTCTATAACTTTAAGCCTGGAAGCAGGGGCTGTCTTCTCCCAAGTACTGTGTTAGTGCCTAAAAGATTAATTTTGGTACTAAAGTAAACAGACTGAATGGAAGTAGTTCAGTGTTCAAATGTTTCATTCACCAAGTTGATCCTTTTCAAAATAATTGGTACATACGCCCTTCCCAGGTGCTGTCATCTGCCATGCCTCAGCTGTGGAGAATTCTTTTGTGTCTCTGTATTGAACACTTTGGGGAGCTGGACCTCTCCACTTCTACTGATGTTATATCTATTATGTTATAATTAATATATCTATTATGATCTATTATATCTAGTAGTGATAGATACCACTAATCAGGGGAAATCTATCATCTGACTTATGTATGTGCTGAAGGTAGGTATCATGGAATAGAATAATTTAGATTATAAAAGACCTTCAAGGTAGTTCAGCCCTTTGGTTTCCACTTTTTTTCACAAACTGCTTGTCAGGGGAAGAAAACAAATATTTTTTGTGTGAGAGATTATTCACAGGTAGCTCTTTTCGAGATATTGTAAGAGTAATTCCTAATTATTTAATACAGCAGTTACATAGTACTTAAACCCATCTCTTATTAAAGCCTCACAAAGAGAGGTGTTTGTTTGTTTGGTTTTTTTATAACTTGATCTCTATGTCTGTTATGATCAGTTTCCTCCCAAGGGGAAGCCCGTCTTTCTTCACTGGCTTAACAGGGACTGCTACAAAAGTGTCTTACTCTAGATTCATTCTGTGGTACAGATGTCAGCCCTTTGGGGAAGAGTGTAGTATATCCTGGTGCTGCAGATGACATGTTTTTTCACTGTCTCTGGCACCACACTCCAGATGTAACAAATCATCATCAAGAGGAAATACAAAAGGGAAGAAACTAGTCAATTTAAGCATGACTAATGCATTAGATTAACATTATGAAGGTTGCTTGATTTGGAAGTTAATACTTGGATGATAATTTCATTTGGTCCTTGTGGAAAATCGCATCTCCATGTTAGTTCTCACAAATAAGCCAAATAGAGCTCTACATACCAGGTGGTTATCAGTCTCAAGGTTGATACACTAACGGAGTCATTGGTAGAAGTTTTTTGTAGGTAAAGCTGAGGCAGACTTTTGTAGAGAACTGTGATTGTCTCTTGGCTTTCTTCTCTATCATGTTACCAGTCCATCATCTGCATGCCTCCACTAGCAGCGTATCTTTAAGTCACCTGAATGGAGAAGGACCCATCTGCTGTCTTTACTCAAGTACTTCTGTTTACTTGACCTAAAATACTAGAAGATGGCTATGGAGCCATAAGCAGGTGAAGAGAGAAAACAACAGGCAAAGGGTCTCCTGGAAACCTTAGTGTGCTTAATTAGGTTAGCTAAAACCATGACACTCAGAAGCAGGAAAAAAAAAAAAGAAGTACTGAGAACTTTGGTTTTTACGATCTGAGTGATAATGAGTATCACCTTCAAAGCAGAGAATAAGTGCGGTATTGCTAACTGCTTGTGTATGCATTAGAGTGAGAGACTGGAATGGGGTTTTTAATAAAAATAGAGAAGAGCTCATTTTTCTTCTCTGCCATTTCTTTGGTGGGCTTTGGGAGCCATCCCTTCATTTGCGGACAGTTTGTAGAGGATAAATGCATGTTCATGCATCAGGATCATGCGATTTTTTAAAATTCCCCTTTTTTCCCCAAGTATATAGTAATACTTTCTCTGTTAGATGCCACATTTAATATTTTTGTGGAAGTGTTTGGAAGGTGTGAATAATTTCAAGTGCCCCCTTAAAAACAGTTGTGTAAAACAAGCACCTTCATGGTCACCTTTTTTTTTTCCTCTCCTCTGCTCCCCTTATTAATTATCAGTGTTGTTTCCTCTCCACTTTCTCCCCTTCTGAAGGTATCAGTTTATGGTTCAGATACAAATCTTACCCATCACATTTCTGCCATGTGTGTGATTGCCAATAAAAGGTAAAGTTTTGTCCACAAGTGAACCTTTGGAAATAGTTCAGGGCTCCCTTATAACTCCTACAGTTTAGAAGAAGCAAAATCAAAATCACCTCTTCCTTGAAAATACATTTCATACATCTCCATCTTGGTAATAGCATTGGAATCATTAAGTAGTAGTTGGCTCTGATACCCTGGTACAGACACAAATTGAGTCCAACGGGACTGATTTCTTGTACACTTTGCTGCCATTTGAAATGCTGACCTGAAGGTGGTAGTGATGAAAGTGGGGAGCTGGTGCCTTCAGCACTTTGCCTGTGAAGATTTCTTAGGTTTGTATTTTTTGATCACAGTAGCTGATTCAAAAGATAGTTTTACAAAAGAGGTTCATAACAGCTATAGGTTTCTACCAGCTGCTCTTGTCTTTTCTTCATTGAGTAAATTCTTGGAGCATTGCACTGTACTGTAAAATGGGCTCTTTATACCACCCACAAATCTGTAAGATCTATCTAGTGGAATGGTAATTAGTATATTTTTTAATTTGCCCTTTTGGTTTTTATCTTCACTGCATGGAAAACACTCTTGTGGTATTGAAAAAGATAATATCAAATCGTTTTATATGTTGCAGACCGTTAGAAAAGTAAAATTACATTTCAGTGTTATTTTAGTTACAGCATCAGGCTATTCGGGCATATCTCCAGTATTTCTGCATCACAGTATTTCCTGTGAGAGGCAAAAAATTTTTATATTACTTAATTTCTGTTTCTCAGGTATGTCAAATTTGGACAATGCGTGCAATATGCTAGCAGTTGATGTCTAGCTTTAAGAACACCTTATAAGGCAAATTTTGTTGTGTTATTCATCAGTTCCCAGTAGACTTCTTATTCTGGAAATTACATCCACTTTGATTCCCTTCTGCAACATGAGTATTCTAGTGATGTAATCAACTTCATTAACAATGAGAGTTCCTGTGATTTGGAAGGTGCTGTTGAATACAAAAAAAGATCCAGGGTGTGACAGATGCTTGATTATTGTAGAAAAGGAGTACTGTGAAACATGTTGAAAAAATACAGTTGATATACTGTACCCTGAATCTTCTGGTATATGCCACTAGCCTGATATAAATTCTGTTTTCTTTTCCCTTTTATCTTTTTTTCCCTTTACCCTTTTGTCTTTTAAAATTATTTTGCCTCAATTGTGAATATGTGGAAAAAAAACAAAGAAATAAACAAAACAACAGAAAATCTCTGCCCTTTTCTTGCTAACTCTATTTTTCTCTTTTTCTTATCTGTTCCACAGGCTCTGAAAATCATCTGAAATTTCAGACTGGACAGACTTGCAGTAGCTTTTAAGCCAGTGAGAACAAGGCTGCCAAAGCATGCTGGTGCCAAGCTGTTGGATGATGCACGTAGTCAGGCCAGTGGTGGTGCTCCTGTGCTTGCTACTCTATGCTGATGCAGAAAGTAAGCTTCTTATTCATTTGTGCTTGGGTATTGGACACAATGAAGAGTTTTGTTTTCAGCTGCTGGTTACTAAGGGTCTCAAAATGATTCTTCTTTTGAGTAATTCTTAAAACACTGCGAGGTCCCATCTAAATCATGGCTAATATTTGAAAAGAATTATTTACGCAACTACTTTGCTATTTTCTTCTTAGTGTTCCTTTTCTTAATGGCTCCTACTCAGATAGTGGAGAACATTACCACAAAATTATGCAGTCAAAACAAAGACCAACCTTGATTACCAGACATTGGTCAAATCCATTAAAGACATCTGTCATTCCTTGAATATTTATTTCTTAAATCTGGTGTGAAGAAAAAAAAAGAAGACACCACCCCAGTTAATATCCAGTCTAATTAAAATTCCATACCCTTTGCAACTGCTATAACAGCTGTTCTAATGTATTATTTCCGACAGCTGTTGCAGAGTACAGTATCCAAACAAACCAGGCAGAACTGACAACTTACTGGAATGCCTAAATGTGTGACAACTGAGTGAGGAAAGGCACCTGTGTTCACTTGTACTGAAGGAAAACTTGGATTCTAGTAGATTAGTTTACCTATTAATGGGAAGATAATATCTTTTTTTTGATTAGGAAATCATTAGGTCTGCCTTGTTTACATGTGTTCCTTTTCCCAGCTGTCCTGTGGCTTCTTGCAGAAGTACTTTTCAAAAGAGAAAAGTAATTTACTTTCTACCTGTTGACTTGAAGTTTACTACAAACTGGCTTCTGCTATAAGCTGTTAACATTCACTTGACTGAGGGGTATTTTCCTGTTAAATCCTCTGTGCAGATGCATCACCAATCAATAACTTTGTTCTAACTCTGACTTCTATAGAAGACTTCTGTGGTTTTTCACACATCTGTGCAGAATGAAGGAATATTTGAAGTGATAGGAATGTACAAGAATAAAAACAGTGTCAGTGAGGTTGGATAAATCAGTTCTCAGTAAATGATATTGAAGAATTTCTTACTGCTCCACATACCACCTGCACTCCAGGTATACTAAATTACAGTGATAAAAGACATACCAAATCTTTCCACTTCCATGTGTAGTAAGACTTTGTTCTTTTCACTATAGCTCTAAGAAAGAGAAGTAAATTAAAAAAAAAGAATAAATACAAAACCTACATGTTTGTTGAGTACTGACAGCCGTGATTCTCTGGCCCCTTTCCAGATAGATAATGACCAGCTGGGATGATTGTGTCTAAGGTGAAGCCAAAGACATTTTAACACTTTAGCCAGCAAATAATTAATTGGGAAGTGGGCCCATATGTTGGATGTTTCTGCAGTTGTAGTATTCCACATGTTTTAAGAGTAAATACTATGTTTAGGAAACATAGTTTTTTAGACTCTGGTACACCTTTTTGGATTTTTATAATGGAATGTCCAACGTCCTGTGGGTGAGTAGGGAATGATTTTTTGGTTTTGGTAACCTCAGTCAGGTATCAATTTGTAAAAAAGATAGTCAAACCCCAGAATCCTCATAAGAGAAAGATAAAATTTCTGTAATCATGTTACATTAAACAGAAAGTCTCCTCTTTTATCATTCTTCTCTGTGGTGTAGGATGGTAGTTTTTTTTGAAGGTTAGTATGGAGATGATTACTTCAAAATTGGCTGGTGTCCCAGTGCAGTTTTTAAATTGCTGTAGTCAACTTATAGTTGTTTTTTTTTTTATTTCAGATAACATGAAAGAAATCAGAAATCAGCTATTAGCTGTTGGTGGCTAGGGCTAGGTGGACTTCATAGTGTTGCTAGACTCTGTGGAGTGTCACATACAGAATAAAGGTTGTAAGATGCACAAAGGTCATCTTTTTGTGGGGGTTACGCTCAGTGAAACCAACCTGGACAGCAAGATGCAGTTTTAAAAGAAACTAAGAAAAAGGAAAGAAAAATATGTTAATAGTGGATAAGTAGTGTTTTCACACTACTTATTAGGTTCTTTATAATCATATTCGTTACAGGACTAGTAAGCTTCAGGACTAGTAGACTCAAGTCACCTCACTGGAGAGCAATGAAAAGGTCTCTTCATAACAACAGATTAATTACTATTTTTTTTCCTGTTTCTTTTTGACACTGATTTATACCATACTGTCAAGTGATTGTTAATAGTTTTGCGTGGTTATATTAGTAGTTAATATATCGGGAGTGCTGTTAATATAAGTTGGAAACACTGCCCTTCAAATACTACTGATCATCTCTCACAAATGCACAAATCAGCTGAGTTTTGTGCTGTTCCTTCTCTCATAAACTAATCCTTTAGGATTTTGTGTATTTGTCGTTGTAGTTTTTAGGTATTACTATGCACAGTTACAGGAATAGCGTGTAGCCAAACAAAGATATGTTATATTATCTTCTTGGTGGGATTTATAATGTTGCAGTATGACATATGGTTATTACTTAGTATCTACTGCGTCTTGTTATTAGCCAATAGGATAAAGAAAATAATAATTTAAAAATACAAAAATATAGGAAGATTAAAAATCTTTGGAAAGATTGAGTTGACAAAAACTAGAGAAGTACTGCTAGAATTTTTGAACTCAGGTACAATGGAATAATAATTTTATTAACTATTTTTTTGTTTAAAAAAAATAAAATGCCTTCAGACAAACTCATTTCTTCTATGTACTAGCCAAGATTTTAGATGAGAGTTTCTATTAAGACATTCCAGAATACAGAATAAAATGCTAAGAAGTGGTAGACTAGGTGTCACTGGTTTTACTGTTTATGTATTTTCTTAAGGAGAGAGCTGAACTAGACAGAAGTGCAGTTTTTCACATGATCATTTTAAAAAACTATGAACTTCTTTAGAATTTTGAAAGCTCCATTTCTGTTGGTCTTTACCATTGTTGTGCTGTAAAGAGCTTTTGCCTTGTGGGTAGTGGTGCTATGAAATGCAGGAAGGGAGTGAACTCTTACATATATCAGCTGAATATGAAACTATCACTTTAAATAGTCAGGCTTTATCTAATCTGGCTAGCTCTGATTTTATGAGAAAAGGCTTGGTGTTACCTTTATTTTCTGCTTATTCCTAATAAAAGGTGTGACTGAGAAATTGTATGAATTTCCACAGTTTTGTATAAACTAACATAATCCTTTCTTACAAGGTGAACTTTATAACTGAAACTGATTTTTCAGCTTCATACATCCTTTCCTGCGTTCCTGTTCTTTCCAAGGATTTATAGAAAGAACTGGATTTAATAGGGGAGAGAAAAATCTAATGCAATTTTTTGTTCACTTACACTTCCTTGGTTTTATTTTCAGCTAAATGTTTGTGGTACACCTAACACAAACTGAAGAGACTTGTGAATCGCAAGATGTCAGTGCAATGTCTCCTGTATTGTAGTCAGATTTGATGCTATCATTCCTTTTGCAGTATAGTACTGAAAAAAGTAAACTGTATTTTTCTATCTCTTAAACTATGAGATTAAAGAGAGATTTTGATTGTACAACCGATTAAAATGCATAGGGTTTAAAGTTGCATAGACACTTGTCTATACAAAAGATATACATTACACTGAATGAACTGTGTGCCATATATGTATTTATATGGCTCCACATAATATTGCATTAATGCTGTGAGCTCTAAATAAATGTTTTTTGTTTTACCAGTCTAAAAGAGGATCTCTTTGTGAGTCACAATAATATTTTACTCTTATACACTGTGCGTCGTTTTGAAGATACGGTAAATTTCCACAGACAGTTATTTTATGGGGTCAAAAATCACGCAGGATAAGCGAACCTTCTGAGTGCAGACACACAGAAAGATGTGTATTCTTGCATGGTTAGCTTTTCTCCTGGAATTTTTGAGGACTTCAAGAGAAGTTCCTGCTGTGCCAGAGTTGGTCTGTCCTCCACTCTCGCACAACTTGTATAGCTCTTTGTCAAAGGGTCTCAGACCCTATTGTTGTCCAGGGTTGTTACTGAACTACTTCTCATAAGCGGTTGCCAGGACTGTTATTTCCTTTAGTGTGGAGAGGACAAAGAAGGTGAGACAAAGGGGAAAAACGTTTTGTCCTTTTTTTTCCCTTTTTTTTTTTTTTCCTCCCCTCTGTAACTATGGAAAGACTATGCTTTCCTTTTTTTTTTTTAATCATTTTTTGTTGCTAGCTCAAAGTTACCACTGAAGAGGAGATATATTCTGACATTACCACTGCTTTGTATTCTTTGCAGAGTAATTGCAAATGGGTAAGGAATTCATACTTTTCAGTCTCACTGTGAAATCCCTGTAAATGGGATCCCAGCAGCAAGCCCACTTCGTGCATTTGAAGATGTTCCCAATGGTAGTCCTTAGTACTTCTTTTCTCTTTACATACTACCCTTACAGCTGAGGGAGGTAATGAGACAACTTTGTTTTTCCCCATGACTGTGAAATAACCCCAAACTGAAATGTGTTGGCACGGGCTGATAAACTGTCCCATGGCCACCTCTCAAAAGGGATACAGAATCGAAACGACAAAAAAATCATTCCCTGGTGGAATGGACGAGTTCATCATACCCCTTATGTGTGTGACCAAGATTTCATTCCTACTGTTAGTCGTGAAACTAAGCTTATGTTTGATGGAGCAAAGTAAACAAAATTGAAAGGTGGCAAAATTACCCTTGCTCTTTTCTCTTTTAGTAAAATGAAGTGTTACTTTTAAGTATAAGAAGTGAAAAATCTCAGTAAATATGATTTTTTTTTCTTTTACTTGCCTCAGTTTATGTTTGGTCTTTGTAGCTTCTGTGTGCACTGAAAAGGATATTGCAGAATTCACTGTGAAAGAGGATGTTTGCTTACCAATATTCTTGTCTGTAGAAGAACAGTTACTGGTTCAGTGTTTATCACTGGCTGCCTTATTCACAACGGTGTAGATGACAACAGTGTTAAGGCAATTCTTTTACATCTGCTGAAAAATTAGTAGTATCACAGTTGGCCATGAGACTCTTGAAGTAACAGATTGTTTTCGAATTCTAGAAGACAGT